ACTACTCCATCCACTTCGAATAGAAGAAAATCACAATCCCAGGTGATAATGGATGTTGATACTGTTGAATCTTCAAAACTTGTTGCTACAACTACCACCACTACTACTCCATCCACTCCAGATAAAAGAAAATCAAAATCCCAGGTAACAAATGGATGTTGATTATCCACCCACCCATGAGATTATAGATGTTGTTGATATTACTGGACTTTCAAAATTCGTCAGCAAAAGAAAAAAAGATTAATGGTTGATTCAGGTGATGTTGATTGTTTCTGATAGAAAAAAAGATGCCATTGTCTCTAATAGTATTGATGAAACTATTTTCAAAAGAATGAATCCTATATTACATTCCTCAATTATCGAACCAGGCTTCAAAAAACCAAAGATGACCATGTTATTCTTGGAAAGTTGAAAATAGTTGTGGAATTGCAAACTCGATTATCTTAATAAAACACGATGCCTTATAAAAATAAAAGTTGGAAATTGGCAAAATTCAATGCAGCATCACAAACTACATTAGAAATTTATTCACATACACCTGATGTTAGTGATGGAATCAAGAAAAGGTTGCTTTAGGATGACTGAGAATCATGTAGTTTTGGTTTTAAATTTACCAATTTAAGTATTGAATTTTTTTATGATTTATTATCATGATCATTAATTATTATTATCAACAGTTTATATTGAAAAAGAATACTTTTATATAACTTGCTAATGTCAGTTTGTTTTTTATATATATTTTGGAAAAATTAAATAATTAAATAAAATTTTTAAAAATTATCGTTATAATCATAAAGTCTTCTAACAGTTTCTTTTTCAACATTATTTTTATTTATTATAATGCATCAAGAACCATTTACCATTTAAAAATTTATGTGATATGTATGATTTTATGCTTCATTTTATTTTTTTTTTCCATCAACAATCAACAATTTATAATCAAGTAATACAACATCTAAATCTCTTCCACTTGTACTCCAAAATACTTTATCAATAATGACACCTAATTATAAATATAATATACACATTAATAACCAATTAATTTAATTGATCTCGATAGAAAGTAATAAAATACCTTTTTGGATTTTCTTATTTGATTGTTACCAGGTCCAATTATTCTTTTAATATCACCCTAATATTTTCTAGAACTAATATTAATTGTTTAATTAATTCTTTCCAATATAAAGCATTTATTTTGTTCCTATTTACTTTTCCAACATCATTACGAATAAATCCTTTTTTTATCTATTTTGACTTTTGTTTTACTTTCCAACATATTGATTGTTTCTGCTGGATTTTAGTTGGAGTTCCTTTCTTTTCCCTTTCTGTTGGCATTAATTGTAAAGGACCTAAAACCTTAGCAATTTTGTTTTCCATATCAGGATATATATCCAAATGTCAAACGTTGATAAGTAATTGCTAATATGATTAAATCAAAATTTCATTCTAAAATCCAAAATAATAAATCACTGATTTAATTTTCGAATTAATTTTCTCCTCCTGCGGCAATACTTTCTTCCAACAAATCCGATAAATATGATTGGTTAGGGGTCGATACTTTTCTTTTGCATTGAAATCGAAGAAAGATTTATAATTTGGTTGCAGGATTATCTGTATCAGGTAAATCTATTATACGGTTCACACTCTCTCTATAATAACAACGGGCTAAAATTTTGTCCCAATTTGAAATCTCTCTCTATGATGGATATTGTTAAATAATATTAATAGTATGGAAAACCTGACAAAATTTTTTGTAGGACCTCCTTTAATCTGTTTTCCACTTCTTCTCTTTATCATCACTCCATCATTCTTCTCGTTCAACCTCTTTTCCTTTTCTTCCTCGAACTTTTCCAATTTCTTCTCGGCCTTTCACAATTTTCTCTCTGTTCTTTCAAAATGTTCTGCAATTGTTTCGACAGCAGTCATTTTTTAAAAAGATTAATTAGATCATAATTGTCAGCAATAATTTAGCCAATAGTAAACGAGCTACTAAATGGGTACATCACTTGGAATTTATTACGACAAAAAAAAATAATCTCGTCTTTATTTTAATTCAACCAATACACATAACAATTTATACAAGTTAAAAAATTGTCAGAGCACTTGCATTGGAGGAAAATACTCGGGCCCAAAGCCATTGTGCGCACTAACTAACTCTATTACTATTCTTTTTATTATTAATATTGATATATTTGTTTTCATTATTTTCGTCATCTCAATCTCTATCCCTTTCTTCGTTTCCTTATCAACTACTGTTGGATCGCTTTTATCGTTTTCCTTTCATGATTAGTTTTTCGTTGATAGAAATTTTGATAAACTTTTAAAAATAAAATATTGCCTGTATTTACTTTGTTTAAAGCGCTTTGATAAAAGAAACAAGTGTAGTCGATGCCCTTGGTAAAAGGTAACAATTTT